CAAAAATTGAACACTCATTACTTACGTGTCTCCAAGCCCTATAAGCATGCGTCTGTTTGACGTCGGTAATCTAGTACCCCAAGTCACTGCTACATATATTTGGAAGGTAGACACAAGCCCTATAAGCATGCGTCTGTTTGACGTCGGTAATCTAGTACCCCAAGTCACTGCTACATATATTTGGAAGGCCCACCAGGAAATGGTTGTGATGGTGGTGGGTAGGAGAATGGTTGTGGGTATGGAGGATATGGGGGGTAAGTGGATGAAACTACCTAAGATCAATGTTTAAAATTACGTATTCGGGTATTGAGGCGTTTTTCATTCGTGAGGCGAGGCGTAAGCCTCAATGCGTTTTGAGGCGTAAGCCTCAAAATCAAAAGATTGCGTAAACATAAAATGATAAATTTTTTATATACTAATAATATAAAATATAAAAAAGCATAAGATATGAAGTGAAATCAAAATATCTCAATAATAAGACAACATGAAATATAGTTCAACTCAAAATTCTATCTTTTCCAAATCCCAATATTCTTTTCATTAACATATAATTCCAATTTCCAAAAATAAATAGCAATGACATATCACATAAGAACTCATAAGTCATCAGCACTGTCATCACTAAGGGGTTCTTCATTTGAATCATCATTATGGTGAACTGCTCTCTTCCCTTCCTCCTCTCCTATAGAGTCCAATGTCGGGCATTTACTTCAAGATTTACGTAAGTTTTAATATATATAGCGTGAGGCGTAAGCCTCAAGCCAGTGAGGCGAGGCGGGCCTCAAGGCGGGCCTTAAACAAGTTAAGGCGCAAGCCTCATAAAAAAAATTCGAGGCGTAAGCATCAAGGCGTTTTTTACTAGAATTGCGCAAAGGCGGGCCTCAAGGCGAGCCTCATATTGCGCAATTTTAAACCATGCCTAAGATGGTGGTGAGTAATAATAAAGAAAGAAAAAAGTGTTATGCAAAGGGTCCAAGGAAGGGAAATGAGGTTCTGGGGAAGGGAATCGGGGATCTAGGAATGAAAATGAGAGTTAACATCTGTGTGTGTAGGTAAGGTCATACTCGCCTAGCATTGGGTGCCAGGATGTAAACTAGTCCACTTAGCTTCTAAAAGATGAGTTAAAATGTCTGCTTGAGAAATATGTTTGTTATGTCATCTCATTTGTGCAGCAGAACTCATAGATGCATATAGAAACTACAGTTTTGGAATAATGTGCAAGTAAAATAATCAACTAACTCTATTTTTATTGTTTTCCATATTTTGGTTTAAATAATGGCTCGGTGTAATGGTGACATGTCTCTGGCAAATCATCCTTGAAGTATAACATATAGTTGAAAATACAATAATCTATTTTATAACAATCAAACCCAATCTGAAAACTAGCTTCTTAGTCATGTGTAAATATGTTGGAATTAGATTATCTACAAGGTCAGTCTCCTTAAGCAACCCAAAAATTTGATTAAAACACTCTAGAGAAACTTTGCATTCAGTCTTAATACTCGGCATCTTAACAACGATTGGTAACTTAGAGTGAGTGGTGCACCCCGATCCTAAATTGGTTGTTAAGCAGTACGTAGTAATTCATAGAGTCTTGTGCTTCCCTATTTGGTAGCTCTTTCATATGTTATCTAAATTGTAGGTTGGTTGCATCATAAATCATAACATCGTACGTCCTAATATTGTCTTCCTCAACTATCTTGGAACTTATTAATGAACCTCACTGAGAGTAAAAATGTGGCGCGTACTCTCCATGTGAAGTCTAAAATAAATATTTGACATGAATCTTCTATGATATAAATCCACAGTAACCTTATTCAGCATAAGATACACTTGATTTTTATGCTTTGAACAAGGAAAATGAAACCTCACATCAGAAAAAAAAATGATAGTTGGCAGGCCACCTAGATGAAAAAATTGACACCTTTGATGAATTTATCTATTAATGCCTTCGTCTAGACAACAATCGATTATACATCTAATTCCTTCGACTTCAAATATCCATATAAAATGTGATCCGGAAAATCCTATAAAAGAACAATCCTATAAAAATTAACTTAATTGCTCAAAATTAATACATAAATTTGTAGGTAAGACAATATGCTTTCATTATTTCATAAACCTACCGATCATTTTTGCTAATTTGGCGAATGTATTTTTACATGCAAATAGGCAATAAAAAATAACAAAATTTGTTAAAATCAATTAAAATCTTCATTCAATAGGTTTTTATTTGATGTTGATAATTTAGACAGAACCAACAAGGACTTAAAAACAAAAAGAATTTCAATTTGGAGAAAAATATGTGTGGGGCATAAAAAGCTTCTTTTATGGATTTTATGGCCTAAGGGAAATGATATACTAGTGAAGAAAAAAATTCCAAATGGATAACATGTTCTTTAGAAATGAATTCTTCAAAGATAATGTTTATTTAAATAACTTCATATCTGATGCTAATTTTAAAAACAATAAATTGGTAAGAACCTCTTTCATAAACTTTTGAATATTAGGGCATGCCTAAGTAGGCTCAATTTAAAGATACATATGAAATAACTCATTTAAGTGGATGTTCTTGAGAAGAGCATGAATGAACCACTGATGAAATAATATAGTTTAAGTGTTACAAAAAATGAGGTGATGTAACGGCTTATGGCTAATGGAGGGGCTGCAGTTTGCTCGAACCTTGGGGGAGAGGAGGAGGTCGATCGATTGCGGACCCACGAGGTACTCAAGCTGCTAAACGGCGGAATGAAGGCAGTCAATCGACGCAACCTTGGTGTGTGGATGAAGTACGATGCTCAAGACTGAGGGGGTGAAACTTTTGTTTGTGTGAAAATGGAAGAGGAAGGCACGGAGGTGGAAATAGGACCTATTCTAACAAATATTTGGTGGAAAAACCGTCGAAAATTCTTCCTGTCTTAGATGGAGAACAAAAAAATGGTAGCTCATGTTCACAAGAAAGTTCTGGCAAAAATTTCTGCCAAACATATTCCTATAACGTCTACGTTATTTCCGACAGTCATTCTGATAGCATTTTTGCCGTCATTCTGTCGGCACACTGTTCGCCGAAAAATTCATCTAAAATAGCAATTTTTCCTGTAGTGTACTATAAAACTAACTCTAATAACATTTTTTTTAATAAATCTATAATATGCCTTATTATTCTATTCATTATACTCCAAAAAAGCATTAAATACTACTTCAATAATTTCACAAAGTAATATTTGATCAATCTTTAATATCTTCATCTTTAAATAAGATCTATCATTGCTTTTAATTTATCTAACTTAATCAAATCCTGTAGATCTCTTAAGTCTTTCCTAAGTCATTTAATATATTTGGTTTATCCTTCTTTGGTGTCTAGCACATTATATTCAACTTTAGGTTTACTAAAATTCTCTTTGCAAAACTTCTAGCTTGCTCATAATCATTGTAAGTTTAATTCAAATTTAATTTTTTCACTTATTAATAGCATGCCTTTACCACAATAATCTTTCGTAACTCATTACTCCACCCATTTTCCTACTTGCATACAATCTATTTCTAAGCTCCTCTAAAACTTCTCGGAAAACCTTTTTAATGGATAATCACCTTATCCCATAGAAAATTTAGTTCAATTATAGAATTTTAATTTGACTCTCTTAATAGCCTATCTTAAAAGATTAACACTCTCTCACCTTTCAAGTTCCACCATACTTTAGGGTAATTATTTCTTTTAATCACTTTTTATAATTACATAAATTCATAACCATGCATTTTGTTCTCAAATTTTTTGGTAAAATCACCTTACAATCATTGAAACATGATTTCACGTTCTTTCTAAATAATAATTAAAAAAAGCTTTTTATGATTTAGTAGCTCCGTTTTTTAAACTAACTAAAAGCATTTCTTGATTCTTATTATTACAAGATTATATGATACTGTGAAATCAATAAAACTCCTCCCATAACATTTATATATGCCATCTCAAACCCACCATTAGTTGTCTCATCACCCATCATACCAATATCATCATATTTCATTTCATGCCAAAATTAATTTTTAAACTACCATTTAATTAAGCATAGACAATATCCACATTTACAATGTTTTTATGAATAATTAACTTAATAGCAATCATCCCATCACAACATTATTCACACTAATAACTTTATCTTCCAACTCTTTATCCACTACTAACCTCACCGATTGTTTTTGTTAATCCTCCCAATACAATAATACATAACCTTCCCCAAAGTTTCAAAAAATTTTCTCATAAACATGCAATTGTGACTCTTTTTCGAATCATCATGGCAACTAATTGTGTTGTATTCCAATCTGAATTCCAAAAATTCCATGTTAGAAAATCTAATTTTAGGCATGTCACTCGAGGCTATATCATGGACAAACCTTGCCTATTTTTCACCATAAATGAATTAAACAATAGTGCATCACTTGTGAGTAAGGCCTTAGCAAACTTTTTTCTACTTCTCACAATGATCAAGCTAGTTTACACTGTGCTGCTTCTAAAGAATACTTTAGTACCAATGAAATTCAAATTTGGATTAATTTCATGAATTTAAGCATAAATTTAATGAATGGTTGCGGCTTGACAACAACCCTCGGCCTTTGTCACCAACGGTTGGTCATGAAAATGGCATTGTTTGAAAGTCTCCTCAAATGCGAGCTTTACTTCAGCAGTCAACTTAGCCGTCCTTGTAGCCAAATTGAGGTGTGACAATACCCATGTAGGGCTGCATCTTACTTAAGCATATACAAAATAATGTTGGTCTTATAAATTCCACGGAAATAATTAAGAATAGGATTTTGGCTGAAAAAGAGGCTACCTCAGCCTATTAAATCTTGACAATAAAAATGGCTCATTGTCGCAGTTAAAAATTACCAAAATGGGACACGGAAAGCCTACCGAGCACAGCCAGAGTATAGGAGGAAATAAAAACATAAATTTTCAACAACATAAGATCTTTCATTAAGACAAAGGAGAACATAGAATACACGACCTGTATTCCCATGTCTGGAATCCAGACTTGTAGAGGAGGTAGTGAAGGGGTTCCCAGTAGTTAAAAACCTCATCGCAGTCGTGGATGATATTGGAAGAAGCACTCATGTGGCGCAATAGCCCAAGCGCCAGAAATGGAAGCTGCCATCGGAGTCCCTTTTCGTTCTTTTCACGCGGCTTGTCACCCTTGTCTTCCTTCGAGTATCGATCCGCAGGCAGCGCCGCAGAATCCGCCAAATCACGCTCAGGAACCGCCTGCCGACGATGCCTCGGCAGCTTGAGAGCCATTAAGCCGTACTATGTTTGATCGCGCTCCCCCCCAATAGACCAGTGTGTTTGCCCTACTATTTGCCTTCGCAAGTAAAGCAAGGAAGTAGGAAGAATTTACAAAACCCTGTAAATTCAGATTTAATAAATTCTGCTAAAATTAAATTTCGAAAATATTTGATAACGCAAGGTTAAATCATGTTAAATTTTTTAAGTAATTCGGCAATGTAATTGAATTTAAGAAGGTTATTTATAACTTGAAGTTGGAATCCAGGTTCCGATGTCCACTCTCCCCCTCTCCCACGCCCTGAAATCTTAAATCCGTCGAACTGCATAATATAGTAAATCCAGGATTCATTGCAGAAATGAAGAGATGGAGGATTTATTCCGTCGTAACTTCCAACGACATCGTAAATATTGTTTGGCAAGATTTAGCGTAAAATTTTGCTCAAATCAGGCATAAACCTCGTTGTCAAATTGCCCCTAAAAGTCTCATTTTAGCATTATATTTCATAAAAAATTTATTTATATCCCGTCTTTCGTATTTTTAATTAAGTAAATATCTTCTAATGATATTTTAAAATAAAACTACATGAGATTCGAAAATTTACATCATAGCCTCTCCGTGGCTTTTCATTTTAATGGATGAAGTTTCATAGTTAATTTTCAGAATGCAAATTGAATTTTAGATAAGACATTAATTAGAAATTTTGCTCTCATTTCACAATGAACTTTTAACCTAATTTGAGTTTTCTCATAGGCATAAGATCATATGGTTAATTACACCTCCCACTAATTAGAGGAAATTTTTTTATTAAGACTAATTGTTAGATAGGTACTAAATGTCCAACATATAATACCAATAACTTTAAGGTTTGAATTTTTAGGGCTTAAAATTGACAACCACATACTTAAAGCGGATGATGGGAGTAATGATGATGAGTTCGATCAAGATCTCATGATTTCATCATCCTTAGCTATCATGATCCCTAGTTCACTTAGTTAGAGGTGTTTGTCGATCCAACCTGACCGAAGGATTTTTGTCGATAGTCATATGTTGAAAGTACTTTGTAGACTTTAGAGAGATATTTGCTTAAGGGCACAAATTAAAGCCAATATTAGCAAACATAAGGTTTTGTGTCCTATTAAGAATATCATTTGATTCATTCAAGAGGTATGAGCCATTGGAGAACATATAAACTCCTGACCATGATTGTAATATAATGGTATAATTTTTTGGCAAAATAACTCAGTTAGAGGGCCTCGGTCTTAATAGTTTATATGTGATGCCATTTGGCATCAAGATAACTAGTTAGAGGATATGTGGCTTGTCCCTACTAATTAGAGATTGTTTAAGAAGAAATTTTAATGATACAATCAACTAAGCAAACCCTCTGTGAGCTAAGGTATTATTAAATTTATCGTCTCATCAAACTATTGTGAAGGGTGGATGGATTATTTTTTTAAAGTTCATGGTGTTTAACTTCTCTTTAATCTTTAAATTTTGATGGATATTGAATTAATAACTTTTATCAAAATGCTGACCCTAAATGAGTGACTTTAGGATTTGTGGGCTTTCTTATAAATTAAATAATTCCCTCCAATTGAGATTCACTTTCAACATGACCATCATTAGGAGCATTTTTTGTTTATTTTAATCCTATCAACTCTGTCCACTTGTCAATAAAGGATCGAGCTCTCATATTAGCTTTATGAATCATTATGCAAGCATTAAGCTGAAGTGTTCATATTATTTGTAATGAATTTTCTTCAAAGAGGGCCTTGATGGCCTAATGTGAATGTAAAAATCAAATAGCTTCAAGAATTTTACTACCCAACACTCTCTTATTAATTCAAGTCTTATCGATTATAGTCCTTGGAGGAGGATTGGAATTAAAATTTAAGTTCATATTCAACTCAGACAGTATTCTCAGATCTTAAGTTTAGGAGATTGATACATCGATTGGTGCACATGCGAGTATTTTATTTTAGTTTAAAATGGGAAATTATATCTCAATTTATTATATAATCCCGTGCAACATTCTTATATTAAAATTTTAAACGATTTTCATATTCTTCAGAGCATATGTGAGAAATTTAAAATTATTTTTAAATGACACATGTGCTTTTTAGTGTGTTTGCATGATTCACTTGCCTTCTTTTCAGCGAACTTACATAATTCATCTACATAGTTTGATTATGTTAGCATGCTTTTTGATACATTCACACAATACACTTAAACATATTTCAATATATTGCATATTGTGTTTGCACACTTTTCAAAGTGAGTAATTTAAAATCAACTATAATTTTCAACCCTAAAGCATTCTCAGATATCATGCTTACGCATTCCTGGTACTCATCAAAGCATATGCAAACATTTTATTTTTAAAAGAAATTTGGAATTTACGAATTGGTCATGAGATTTCATTGCATTTGCAATTTTTTGATGCATTTACATGTTGCATAGTGCATTTATACAACTTTCATGGGAAGTGCACTTTTGAATTGTTAAAATATTTAAGATTTTATCTCCCTAGATAATGCTTATATTTTATTTGATATATAAAATAAAAACCCCTCTTAATATACACAAGTATACGTATCAAATTTAGTAATAAATTGATAAAATAAAGTGTTGAACTCATAAGAAAGTATGCTTTCTAGCAATCAACTACACCATTTACTCTAATTGAAAATTTTAACCTACTAAAATAAAAATATTGGTTATTGAGATTCAATCTTTGAATACAAATATTAATAATAATGGATACAATATCTAAATAAAGTGTTTTGGATTGATGAATTTAAATTGCATATCTGTTCTAATGAAACTTTTATCTGTAAATGTGATTCAGAGCATATGCTTCCCTAGATCTCTGTCGAGTTTGTAGGAGTGAAAATGATATATATTGACCTCCTATAATTATATCATTTCCTTAAAAACCTAACATATTTTATATTTTATGTATAGGTATGCAAACATACTAATTCAATATTCTTGGTTGTTTTTGCATTTCTCCTTTGAGGTTATACATCACATTAGGTTTTAACTACACATATGACCATTATGTGCCTTAAATAAAGAGTAAAAAAATATTGAAAATATTATTTTAACTTTATAACATAAGAATCTTTATTAGTACTTAATATGTTATCTACATCGTCAATCCAAAACTAGAAAATTAGTCAAACAAGAAATAAAAAATAAGCAAACTCATTTTTTTTTGAAATCGTGGAATAACAAAAATACAAGAAGAGAGTGATATCACCACGAAGGATAAAAATATCTCATCTATACTCCTTTAATGTACAGAGTTGCTTAAACACACTGACTAAACACTCTAATAATTTTATCTAGCACTTCTCTAATCTCCCTTAGAATTTACTCTAAGAGAGATCTAAAGAAGTACTTTGAAAAATACTAAAATTCCAAATGACGATAAGGAGGATTTATTCGCCGTAACTTCCAACGGCACCATAAATCTTATTTGGCAGGATTTAGCATAAAATTTTTGCTTAAATCAGACATAAATCTCGTTGCCAAATAGCCCCTAAAAGTCGCATTATAGCACTAGATTTCATAAAATTTGATTTATATCCCTCCATTAATATTTTATTTCATACATACAATCAACTATTCATGTGTATGCATGCCCACCAACCATTAATTACCCAAATATTTTTGGGATAAGGTAGTAAGCACTCTTGTTATGCCTTAAATAGGGTAAATATCACTTCCAAATTGAATAAGACTCCTTATGAGCTTCTAAAGTGTAGAACACTAAACCTTTCGCATTTACATATCTTTGGATGTAAATTTTATGTTCTACATGATGGAAAATTCTAATTTAGAAAAATTGATGCAAAGTCTAATGATGTTGTGATTTTGGGATAATCAAAAGTAGGAAAAGCCTATATGGTCTTTAATAAAAGAATATTGGTAGTAGAAGAGTCAACCCATGTAGTATTTGATGAGACCTATAGGGATACTCTATCTAGAAAAGAAGATTAAGAGAGAAGCATTATTATTGGAATTGAGAATATAGGCTTAAAAATAGAGAAGATACTTAGGAACCCTTTTCTAGAGAGTAGAGATATGTGTCTAACTACCTTAGGGAGCTGATTATAAAACATCTATCCAAAGGATTAGGACTAAACATAGACTCGGGAAAGAAGTTATACACACTAACTTTATTTTAATGTTAGAGCCTGTAAGTGTAGAGAAAGCCTTAAAAGATGAATATTAAATTATAGCAATGCAATAGGAGCTAATTCAATTTATTAAAAATGATGTGTGAGAGTTAGTGGCTAGGCTCACTAATCAAAGTGTTATAAGAACAAAATGGGTATTGAAGAATATATTGAATAACACTATATTAGTAGTAAGGAATATGGTTAGGTTAGTTGCAAAGGGCTATAATCAAATGGAGAGGATAGAATATGAGAAAACCTTTGCACCAGTAGCTAGGTTAGAATCCATTAGTGTACTATTAGAATTTGCATTTTTTGTTTATTATTGTTATTATTATTATTGGGATTTGTATATGCATCCATTATGTGGTAGTAGTTATCATGTGTGTTATCTGCATTAGTGTGATAAACATCTTTTCTTGTATGTAACCATAGACCTTGATCATTAATAAAATGAAAAAATTTTGGCCACTTCATCCTTTATTAACCACTTCATACTATATGATATATGTTAACAAGAATGATTCTCAAAGTCTAAAAATTATAAAACAAAAGAGATATTATGATTGATCGTACTATATAAATCTCATTCATATTATACAATCTCTGGTGGATTAAGATATTTTAACGGTCATAATTATAATATTAACAATTTGGTATGATCCATTATTATAAATCATACAGTAGGAACACCTCTGAAAGTTCGTGTTTTTTTTTAGATCTTTTTAGAAAATTAAATCACTAATCCTAAAATATGCAGTTATTTATAGAAATGATAAACATAGTATATTTTTAACCACAAAATTTTAAATGCAAAAAAATAAAATGTAGGGAAAAATTAAAGGCAATAGAAGTACACAAAATTTTATAGTGATTCGATCAAACTAGACCTATATACACTCCTTGAAGACTCCTT